TAGTTGGTTAATTTTAAAAGTCCCCAGATAGGATGATTTGTTTAAAATGTTAAATTTTAATTGTTAAAATTAAATGCATTTTATCATGGATGACCATGGGCCGGCAGCTTCCAGTGTCAGAATGTAGTTGGCTAAATGATAAAGCTTCCAGATAGAATGATGGATGGTATCTTTGAACACTTTGCTCATATTTGTGGCTTTCTTTGGGAAGCGTATGGAAGCTTTCGATTTTTTGTTGTTTTTTTTTTTTTTTGTCGTTGTTGTTTTGTTTTGTTTTGAGCGTTTCTCCATCTAGCCTTGGTTATCCTCTGAGGCCATTTGTAGAGCAAGCTGGCCTCGAACTCAGAGCCTTCTGCTTGCCTCTGCCTCTGAGTGCTGGGATTACAAGCATGATCCACCATGCCTGGCTGTGTGGAAGCTTTCCTAAGGGGAGCCTTTCTTTTTAATTGGGGATGAGATTTGAGTGTCTATAGACTCAACTCATTTCCTGTTCTTTTGGCAACTGTGTTGTGGTTGAAAGTCAACTTCCTTCTCATGCCTTCACAATTATAGACACTATCCCTAAATCACATAAGATACAGGAGAAGCAATTGCTATTCAATGCTAAGCTATTTTACTAGCTTTATGGTTGTTTTGTTTTTTTTTCTTTTTAGTTTTGTTGCTTTATTGTTTTGTTTTGTTTTTGAAGACAAAGTTTTTCTGTGTAACCCTGGCTTTCCTGAAAGTAGGTATGTAGATGAGGTAGGCTTTCAACTCAAAGATCCACCTGGCTCTGGCTTCAGCGTTCCAGGATTAGGTATGGGCCAACATGCCTACCTTTTTTCCTTTGTATATTATTTCCTATGGGCTTGGAATGTAGGTTTTGTCCATGTCAAGCATATGTTGTTGTTGTGAGCTTTACCTGCATCTTGAATTTTGAAATTTGGTAGAAATTAATTCTCAGAATGACAGAAATTTACAACATTAATACTGCCTAAGTCTTCTAAGTCACTGAATTGCAGGTGCTTGACATTCTTTCTACCTGTTGTGTTTGTTTTGAATGAATATGAGTATTTTGCCTATATGAATGAATATGCACCTCTTCTGTGCCTGGTCTTCACAGTAGTCAGAAGATGGCCTCAGAACTCCTAAATTTGGAGTAATGGATAGGTATGAGCCCCTGTGTAAATACTGGCAGTTGAGCCCAATTATTTGCAAGACCAGCAGGAGTTCTTCACTGCTGAACCATCTGTCCTCCCCTATGTTGCTTATTTTTTGATCAACATGTACATTGCTAATATTTTTACCTGACCATTTTAAACTGTTTGAACTTTCATTCTCTTTTAATAAGATCTTATTACTGTTACAATTTAACCTGAGGCCCTTCAGGTTTCTGGAAGATGAATACTGGAGTGAATGCATAACACTTTATAGGAACTGTATCTTCTTTTGGGGCTGGAGAAATGGCTCAGTGGTTAAGAACACTGTCTGCTCTTCCAGAGTACCTGGGTTCAACTCCTAGTACCCACATGGCAGCTCACAACTGTGTATAATGTCAATTCCAAGTGCTCTGACACTTTCCCACTAACATACATAAAATAAAATTGAAATAAAATAAATTATTTTTAAAGATCTCTCCTTCCTTCCTTCCTTCCTTCCTTCCTTCCTTCCTTCCTTCCTTCCTTCCTTCCTTTCTTTCTTTCTTTTTCTGGTTGGTTGATTTAAATTTTTTTTCTTTTAAAAATAAAATTTTTATTATTATTATTATTATTATTATTATTATTAATTAAATTTATTTACTTTGTATCTCAGTTGTAGCCTCCTCCTCATGTCCTTCCAGTCCTATTCTCCCTCCCTTTTCTCCTGGTTGGCTGATTTTTACAGAGGAATCAGGGCCATAATATGTACCTCTGGCTGTCCAGGAACTTAGTGCATATACTAGGTTGGTATCTAACTCAATGAGATATACCTGCCTCTGCCTCCTGAGTGCTGAGATTAAAGGCATGAACCAGTACACTCAGTTTGCCCATCATTTTTTTTTGTAGTTAGTAGTTATTCATACAATTTCTCTGATTTGTGCTCAGTATTGTTTATCATTTGCTGTTTCTCCCTCTTTATTTCTGTTAATTGGCATTTCTCTTGAAAGGGTGTATCATATTCAAAGGGTACCACAATGACAGAGGTGAAACTCATTATTCAGTTTCCTTCTAAAATGACTAGGTGATTACATTAGAACTTTGTTGTCAGGAAATAAGTGGTGGAAGCAACAGAATGATGTGAATATATTGTCAATCAAGTATATGTCTACAGTGTTGTGGGTATCGTGCTTTCTCTTGTACACATGTATGTCATATTTTAGGATGCAGTGACCTATGAAGATGTACATGTTACCTTCACTCAGGAAGAGTGGGCATTGCTGAATCCTTCCCAGAAGAATCTCTACAAAGATGTGATGCTGGAGATCTACAGGAACCTCACTGCTATAGGTAAGACTGTGAATCTTCTTTCACTTTTTAAAATAAGAAGGAAACTGTTTCTTGGTATTGATGCTCCTCTGTATTTTAATTGAGAATGAGGAATAGTGAGGTGAATAAATCAGGTTGTTTCTAAGGTTCACTGAAGATACTAACTTAAATTTTGCCTAATTTCCAATAACATATCATAAATTTTCTGGTACTATATTTTAGGCTACAATTGGGAAAACCATAATATTGAAGAAAATTGTCAAAGTTCTAGAAGACACAGAAGGTAATTTTCATGTACAAGCTAACACGGATATGCCTTTGTCAAAAATTTTATGTTTTCTGGAGTTTGTTTATTTGTTTGTTTGTTTGTTTTTTGAGACTGGGTTTCTTTGTGTAGCCTTGGCTGTCCTAGATTTGGTTTATAGACCAGGCTGGCCTTGAACTCACAGAGATCTGCCTGTCTGCCTTCTCAAGTGTTAGGATTACAGGCATGTGACACCACACCCTGGTTCTGGAAGTTTTATAGAAAACTAAAAGTATAAAACAGCACTGCTTTAAGCGTATCAATGATTATTATATTCTCACAAAATCATATGCCTGATATCAGGTATCTCATTTGTTTTTGCAAGGTATTCCTCTTAGAAAGAAGACAAAGGAACGATGCCTTAATGGATATCACCTTTTATATTATAGTCCCATTAGAGCTATGTTGTGGAACTACCAATCTGTTTAGTCCATAGCACTCAGATATTGCAAAAGGTAGTCATGTTGAGTAAGTGAGAAGTGTATGTCCACAGCATTCTAATATGCAAATAGTCCAGAGTAAAGCTGGTGTAACTTATAAGAATGTTGTTGTGGTGAAACCCTAATAATTATACCACTTGTTTATGAGGAACAAATAGTCAAACTGTATGAATTCAATGTGGAAACCTTTTATTTGTTATTCTTCTTTAATGGGTATATCATGTCACAATGGATTCAAGCTATGTGAGCACAGGAAATTGAAATAGGCAATGTACCTTCTCTCTCTCACTTTCTCTCTGTCTCTCTCAGAACAATTAGAAGATATGTAGTAGTCACCACTCTGCGTAGATGCAAGTTTATAATTGATTCGTTTTCCAATTTCATTGAGAATGCATCCATAAACTCACTCTGCAGAAAATTCATCAGAGTACTAGAAATGTGGAAATTCTTCTGTTTGTCCTGGTTCACTTTGCAAATGTAATATGACTGACACTATAGGAAAATGCAATCATTATGGTAAAACTCCTAGTTCTTTAAATTCTCTTCAATAAGTGAAAAACCTCATATAGAAAACTGATACTATAAATGTAAGCCATGTAATAAATTCTCTTACCATCTCAGGTGTCTCCAAGGATGCAAAATATCCCATAATAGAGGGGAATCCCATGAATGTAAACAAAGTGATAAAATTTTAAGATCTTATTTCCTGTTCCCATTAGAACAAATTGTAAAATTAATTCATACAGATGAAAAGATTCATCAGTGTAATGAATGTGGTAAATCTTTCTTATGTGCCATTTATCTTTGTAGGCATGGAAAAAGTATTACTGGAGAGAAACCCTGTGAATATACTCAAGGTGGTAATGGCTTTGCATATTATAGTCTTCTTCAAGGGCATGAAAGAATTCATATTGGAGAGAAACCCTATGAAATTCTTCAATATGGTAAAGCCTTTGAACATCACAATCATCTCCAAAGACATAAAAGGACATACACTGGAAAGAAACCCTATGAATGTAACCAATGTGGTAAAGACTTCGGATGTCCTAGTCATCTCCTAATACATAAAAGAACACATACTGGAGAGAAACCGTATGAATGTAGTCAGTGTGGTAAAGCCTTTGCTGATCATAGTCATCTTCGTAAACATAAAAGAACACATACTGGAGAAAAACCCTATGAATGTAGTCAGTGTGATAAAGCCTTTGCATGTCACAGTAATCTCCGAATACATAAAAGAACACATACTGGAGAGAAACCCTATCAATGTCACCAATGTGGTAAAGCCTTTGCATGTCACAGTAATCTCCGAATACATGAACGAACACATACTGGAGAGAAACCCTATGAATGTACCCAATGTGGTAAAGCCTTTGCATGTCACAGTCATCTCCTAATACATAAAAGAATCCATACTGGAGAAAAACCCTACAAATGTAATCAGTGTGATAAAGCCTTTACACAGGATATATCTCTACAAATACATAAAAGAATACACACTGGAGAGAAACCCTATATATGTAATCAATGTGATAAAGCCTTTGCATGCCACAGTAGTCTCCGGATACATAAAAGAACACACACTGGAGAGAAACCCTATGAATGTAATGAGTGTGGTAAAGTCTTTGCATGTCACAGTATTCTCCGAATACATAAAAGTACACATACTGGAGAGAAGCCCTATGAATGTACCCAATGTGGTAAAGCCTTTACACGTCATAGTAGTCTCCGCATACATAAAAGAACACATACTGGAGAAAAACCCTATGAGTGTAATCAATGTGAAAAAGCTTTTTCACAACAAGGTCATCTCAGAATACATAAAAGAACACATACTGGAGAGAAGCCCTACAAATGTAATCAATGTGGTAAAGCCTTTGCACGTCAAAATCATCTTCAAAGTCATGAAAGAATTCATACTGGAGAGAAACCTTACAAATGTAATCATTGTGATAAAGCCTTTTCACAACAAAATAGTCTCCAAATACATAAAAGCACACATACTGGAGAGAAACCCTACAAATGTAATCAGTGTGATAAAGCTTTTTCACAACACAGTTATCTACGAATACATAAAAGAACACATATTTGCATATAGCAGTAGTCTTAGAAGTCATGAGAAAAGTCATACTGCAGAGAAACCCCATAAATATAGTCTATATGGTAAAGATTTTCACTTCATGGTATCTTTATAAATCTTTTAGTAGTCTTTGAGACCTGAAAGAATTCATACTGAAGGGAATCTATGACTTAAAGGATTTGGTAAGATCTTTAGCAAATACTTATTTTCAGTTACACAAGATTATTTATTTTTGGGAAAAATAGGACAAATGTCAACAATGTATTCAAGCACTAGGTTGTCACTCCTTATTTTGTTTGCTTTTCAAAACTCATAGGAACAAAAGCCTTTTTAAATAATAAGGTTACTCTTTTAGAATTCACTGTTCTCTTCAGTTATATGGGGAAAAAAATCTCATCCAGTGCTATGAGATCACCCTGAAAATGCCAATGCAACAATTGTTACACATGGCAGCTAAAGCAGAAAGCTCAGAGCTCACATCCTCACCTAAAGCATGAAATAGACAGTGGAAACTAGAAATGGTGTGTGGATATAACCTCTCAAGCCCACTCCAAATAACATATTTCCTTCAGCAGGGCACATTTCCTAAATCTTCTCAAATGATATCTCCAACTGAGAAGGATTGATTTCTCTGAATGAAAGCCTAAATGCTTGCTTTTTGTTAAATGAACCAGTTCATGATGAAGAAAAATTCAGTGGTTAAGACTTGAGGTGCCTCAGTACCCAAGTTATGGTAATAAATGTTTACATACACAGAATAGTCATGAGTGAAATTTATGTTTGTAATTATTTATTTAATTTCAGTTATGTGGTGTTTTTGCATCTTTGTGTGTATATGTGCATGCTGGGTCCCAAGAAGATTAGACCGATGGAACTTCTTGTAGCAAGGATTTCAGGAAGTTGTCAAAAATGTAACAGTGGTCTTGGGAATGAACCTTGTTTTAACTGCTCTGCCATGGCTTTAGACCTGGAGATGTCAGGAAATAGGAAAGGACTCATACAAAAGAAAAACCCTATTCATGTAAACAGTTTGACAAAGACTTTAAACATCATAGTTGTCTTCAGTTTCAAGAAGAAAAATCTTGTTTCATCTCTTTTTCATCGATCGTAGCCTTGAAGGAAGTAAATTATTTACCATGTTCACTAGAGTGTGATGGTGGAGACCACCTATTGTGGTTGTGGTTCGTATTTTGAAATATTTGGAATAGGTACTGCAGTTTGCTGTATGTATAACAAATCCATTTACAGAAGTTTATTAAGCTGTTTTTGTAGTCCTTGTGTGGCTTCTGTTCACTTTCTATTGCACGTTAACTTGGTGATAGTTTTTTTTTTTTTCTGGAATATGCAGGATGGGATCACTATCATCTAAGTGGTCCATTGTTTATTTATATATCATACAATGTGTGATCATACTTTTCAAGTAAGTATGACTGTGAAAGTGCAGTGGTTGGTTGGTTGATACTGACCTTTGTTTTTCTGATTTTTACAAATTTCCTTGAGATTTGTTACACAGCCTTGCTTGGATGTCAGTAACTACTCAAGGCTACATTTGACCTCTTGATTCTCATGAATCAGCCTCCTGAGTACAAGTCCAAGGGTAGAAAATGTACCCCCAATGTGTCCTGTTTCTTCAACACTTTTTAACAATATTAATGTTAAAATTCTTGATAGAAGAGAATATAAGAAATATTAAATACCTCATGTGTATCCAAAGCAGCACTTTCATCTATTTGGTAGAGTTGTAATAATACGATAATCAACAATCAACTGTATATCTCACAACATAGCTTGATTGGTATGGATATGTATATATTATTTGATGTTCTCTGCTGCTTTATTTTCCCATTAGTTACCATTGGCACTTCAGCTTTCTGGAGGAATTATTTATAGATTCAAGATACTGTAACAGCAATGAAATTTACCTTGTTACGTATAATATTGTAACAGCAAAGAGAAAAAGATACATTTCTTTGTGTCTGTGTAATGTTCTGGGGTTTTAGACCATGACAGGTATGTGGAGATTAGAAGACAACTTTCTGAGTTCTACTTTGGCCATTTTTTTTATTTTTATTTTTATTAATTACAACTTATTCATTTTGTATCCCCCCTGTAGCTTCCTCCCTCCTCCCCTCCCAATCTTCCCCTTCCTCTCCCTTCCCCATTCATGCCCCTCCCCAAGTCCAATGATAGGGGAGATCCTCCTCTCCTTTCTTCTGATCCTAGTCTATCAGGTCTCATTAAGACTGGCTGTATTGTCTTCCTCTGTAGCCTGGTCAGGCTGCTCCCCCCTCAGGGAGAGGTGATCAAAGAGCAGGTCAATCAGTTCATGTCAGAGACAGTCCCTGTTCCCATTACTATGGAACCCACTTGGACCCCGAACTGGCATGGGCTACATCTGTGCAGGAGTTCTAGATTATCTCCATGAATGGTCCTTAGTTGAAGTATCAGTCTCAGAAAAGACTCCTGTGTACTTTGGCCATTTTTATATGATGATCAAGGTCGGGTTGCCAGCTGTGCACACCACAGACATTTCCCACTGAGCCATCTCACTCATGCTCAATGAGATCAGTTGAAGCATTGCATCAAGTAATTAATGTATTGTCTCATTTTCAGGTTGTAAACATATTATCATCCCAAGATAGAGGAAAACAGAACAATTTGAATAATAAATTTTATTTGCAAATGATATACTGCTATCTTTTTTTTGAAAAGTGTTTGTTTATACTTAGCACTTCTTCATAACACTTTCTCAGAACCACAAATTAATTCCAGTGAATTGTCTCAGTGGGTTAAGTTGGTTGCTGCTAAGCATGATGACCTGATTTCAATGTCTGGAAGGCCCATGTTGTTTCTATAAAATTTTCTCTTATTTCTACAATTGGGCTGTGGCATATGCACACTTACCTACCAGCACATGCATAAATAATGTTTAAACCCAAATGAAGGCCAGTTAGGTCACTTGAACCAAAGGACTTTCTGGGTTTACAGCAATAAGTTGTCCTCTCACTACCACATACACACCGTGGCATAGGTGTATACATACAAACACATTTCAAAGATTGTGAAATGGATGAAATTAACAAAGCAAAGAAAATAACCATATGATTGGGAACACATGAAATCATTTGCCAGTTTAAATCATTGTTGTAGAATTTCAAGAAGTGTTACTATTCATCAAAATAATGATGTTTCCTTTCTAAGTCTTATTTTATGCTTTCATTATCTGATTCAAAATATTTCCTTTTAAAAATGTATCTCAGCTGGGCTTAGAGGTGTATTCCTGTAATTCCACCTCCTGGAAGACAGTGGCAGGCCAGTCTTGTGGCCAATATGTGGCCAATGTGGTCCACATATTTCTAAGACAACCATGGCTTTGTAGAGATATCCTATCTCAAAGATTCTAGAAAAAAGAGTATATCTCAAATTATGGAAAATTTCCTAATCTGATGGAACTCTGATTGGTTAAGAGAACTGTGTAAACAATGAAAACAAAAAGCAATGTGGAAAGTCTATTCACAGAAGGATAGAAATCCACTGAATCACTTCAACAACCATCTAGGAGGTACTTCATCATCTTCAAGAGACAGAAAACAGAAGGAGCAATGGAGCTTCTATATCCTCTGCATTGGAATGACGTATTTGGAGCTGGATAGTTAGTGGTACTACTCCTCATGTGTATCCACATTTGTTTCCTAGTGCCCATCTCATATAGCTCAGAACTACCTGTATTTTCAGGTCCAGGACATCTGATGCTTCTGACCTCCTAGAATACCGGATAGGCAAATGGTGAAAAGACACATACATACATATGTGATTCCATATTGTAACAAAATGTATATGTTTTTAATTAAAATTGTTTTAACTTAGGTGTATAAGTTTTGCCACTGTGTATACCAAGTGCATGCCAGGTATCAGTGGTAGCCAGAAGAGAGTGTCTGATCCCTAGTGATTGGAGTTAGACTGTTGTGAGCCTTCACTTGGGTTCTAGGAATCAAAGCTAGGCCCTGTATCTGAGCAGCCAGTGCTCTTAGGGGCTGAACCATCTATTCATCCCCATGAATATGTCATTAGTAGCAGTAAGATGTGAATGGTTGGTCCTAAGTTCATCTTTACCTCAGCCCTGATGACCCAGAAGAAATATAGGATTGAGAACATCAGAAACTAATTTAGACTTGGTGTTTAAAGAAGTTTCCCAGCACAAATCTCCACAAAATTAGGGAAGAATACAAAAATTATCAGGAAAGAAACTGCCAATACACATATTCAAAAAGTGGACCACTTGACCAAATCCAGAAGACTGAGTTTATTCATGTGTAGTAAATAGGCAGCAATGGGAGCCGACAAGGACACATGCTGGAGTTTATGCCTACTGTGGTCTTTATGGGATTGTATTCTGCTTCGCTGATGCCTGCAAGCATTCAGTTAGGAGCTGTGACTGATGGTGACTCCAGATGACATTGAGGTTGCTATTAGGAGAACCTGAGACTCAAAACTGGTTCTAAGGCTGGAGAAATTAGGCATTTACAAAGAACTCTGAGTATGCATGAACTATTATAGAGGGAGTGTTGGTATAATGTTCTTGTGGAAAGTATACAGTTTACCCTTGTTCATTCAAATGCTGATGTGTGGTTTCAATCCAGACATTGCATTGTGATGTTTATTCTAAGCATCACCTGTCTCAAGTTTCTGTAAACTTGCTACCATTTGTTCTCTGTATTGTCAATAAAAACAACCAGCCAATACTAAGCAATGGAGAGAATAGGGTGGGACATCCTGGGTCTGGAGGGGAGGAAAAAGAAGAGATTGGGAGGAGATGAGAGAAGAAGACCTGGAAACATCAGGAGAAGTTAACTGGACCTAAGATATGACTATAAAGCAAATATAATGTGGGAAATTTGAATGGGAGGAAGTTGTAGAAGCTTGGAGGCTTAAGATGGAGTAATTATTGCCCAGCATTGTGCTCTAGGTCAATTAAATAAATCCCAGGCTCTGTGTGGTAATTTGGGTATACAGCTGGTATAGGAATAGCTGCTGTTTAACTAAAAGATTTGTCAATATTAAATATTAATAATCATTAACAAGGGAGATTTGGATTCGAAAGAAATTCCAAGGGAGACTTATTAGCTAATGCCAATGTCCATAGTCTTCCCTGCAGCTTCAGAACTTCAGGGCCATGGCACCAGCAAGTGTTAGCTAAGGTATTTACCACCCTATCTTTTCTAATATTTCATGTCCAAGGCAGCCTAGGTCACTTCAGGGTCAGATTCCTGTTGGTCATTAAAGAGGGTAAACTCTCCTGCAATTGGGAGAAGTAGCTTCAGGCAGGAATGAGCTCCCTAATTGAATATCCTATGTAAAGTGTTGGCTCCTCAATCTATATACACTCAACCAACAGAAATTGACTTAGCAAGTTTTATTCATATATTTGAATGTACTTACTCACACATACTTAAAAGGAAGAAATTGGAAGGGAAGAGTTTGAGAATGGAGAAAGGACAGGGAGAAATTATGTAATATATTTTAATTAACATGTATAAAAATACATTTTAAATTAAAAGCAGATGGAGAGCACAGCAATTAAGAGCACTGGGTATTGATACAGAGGAGACAGATTCTGTTTCAGAAGCCACCTAGCTCCTACAATCCTAGTCACAAGGGATCTGATGTCCCCTCCTGGCATCTGCAGGTAGTACACACAGACATATGCTGGGTAAACATCCATTTACTTAAAAAAAAATAAAGCTTAAATTTTTTAGGTTTGTAGATGGCTATCCTATATTACATGGCTAATATCTGCTTATAAGCGAATATAAAGAAGGTAAACAACAAGGAGGACACTAGGGAGGATGCTTAAATCTCATTCAGAATGGCAAACAAGATAGACATTAGAAGAGAGGAAACAGGATGGGAGGGTCCTCTGAAATTATTCACCCGACAGGGGATTGAAGCAGATGCTGAGACTCAGGGCCAAACTTTGGGCAGAGCCCAGGGAATCTTATGGAGGAATAAAGGGGTGGGAATAGAGGGACATGGAGGGGACAGGAGCCCCACAAGGAGACCAACAAAACTAAAAGATCTGAAACCAGGGGGTCCTACAGAGAGACTGATGCATCATCAATGGAGGACCATGCATGGAGAGGACCTAGACCCCCTGCTCAGATGTGGCCGATTGGCAGCTCAGTCTCCATGTGGATCTCTGAGTGAGTGGAGCAGGAGCTGTCATGAACTTGGTTGCCTGCTCTTTGATCATTCACTCCTGGTGATGTGACCTTACCAGGCCACAGAGGAAGAGGATCCAGGCAGTCCTGATGAGACTTAACACGCTATGGGCAGATAGCATTAGTGGAGAACTCCCCCTTTCATTGGACTAGGGGAAGGGGATAGGGAGAATAGGTAGGGAGGGTGGGACTGGGGGGAGTTGAGGGAGGGGGTTTCAACCGGGATATATAATGAATAAATTGTGGAAAAATAAAATTAAAATTAAAATAAAGCTTTAAAAATGGAATTCTCTATAGTGCTGACAGAGCCCTGAGACAGACAGCAGTGAAAGCTAGTTAAACTGAACTCCTGGTCCTGCATGGAAGCAGCTGTGGCCTTCCTCTGAAACAGCCTACTCAGAGTCAAGGTCAACCTTTTCTAGACATTCATGTAAGAACTGTAACCACAATGCTGAAAAGTGACTTTCCCTTGATGTTTTATGTATTTGTGTCTATTGGCCTTTAATATGTGTGAGAATTGTAGCATTGGTGAATCTTTTAAATTGATCTTTTAGACCATAATATATGACCTAGAAGATAGATTTGCTCTATAAATCTGCCTTAGGGGCTGGACTTGTAGTCTTCTGTCCATAGTTAAGTTGTCCAATATGTATCCTGGGGCCTAAACCTAAAATAGTTAATGATGACAGCATATGTGGAATGCAAAATCTATTCTATGCTGGCTCCTCTGATCCTCAGCCAGAGCTGAATACATGCTATCATTAAAGATTTTTCTTTACTAAACTCTTAAGTATGTGGAGTGATATCACCCTGGAAAGGATATTAACTCTAAAAGAGCTTTGAGCCTTTTAGAAAACTGTTTCTGAACCAAGTTCTCCTTTGTTGACTCAGGTGGCCTTTGTCCCAGTCTGTTGCTCTCTAGCATCACTGGCTATATAAAAGAGGGGCTTCAGTAGGCATGTGGGCTTTCTGGAAGGCAACCTAGTGTTTCTTGCAAGGTCTGCACTAGGGATAAATCTGAGTCACTCAGAGACTGCAGCCCAGAATGGCTTCCTCCTGCTCACAACCCTCTTTTTAAAATACTGTATCTCTCAAAAACCTGGCATGATGTCAAAGACGCCCTCACTGTTTGGTGTTTCCTAGATGAGCAGATCTCCTACAAATTTTTAAAAAGATGTATTAATGTTCAAATGAATTAGTGATTTCATAATTTTATAGAATTCCTGATTCTGAACGTCCTTTTACCGACATTGGCCTGGTAAAGCAGTCCCACCAGAGAAAAGTGATCAAAAAGCTAGCAAGTGAGTCTTTGTCTGATGCAGTCCCCATTTTCCTTACAAGAGCACCCAGGTGAAGCCTAAGCTGCCCATCTGCTACATCTGTGTAGGGGATCTAGGTCCAGTCCATGCATGGTCCTTGGTTGATGCTTCGGCTTCAGCAGACCCCTCTGAGCCCTGGTTAGTTGGCTCT